AAAGACTACGCCTGTTTTAAACTATGACTCCAAATTTTCACGCAAGATGTTAACTGTGAAGGCCAGTACAACAATAAATCTTCTTTTACCGTCTTTAAATACAAATTAAAATGTGTAATTAGTAATAAAATTGAACCGCTTTTAAAAGAAACCCAACGAGCTTATGGCTGGTTTAGTGGCTCTCTAAAATAAAAATATATAGAAAATAGGTTTTTATTTCGTGGTGGAGGGAAATGTCCGGCGAAAGTGGGGAAACGCTTAACTTAACAAACTGATCAATTTGTGCAAAATTCTTGAACTTTTCGGTAGTACGGCACTACATTTAGCTTCAACTTCCACCTTTTGATGCAACTAAATAGAAAAATGAAATTTGGTTTCAATCGATGACAATGCCGTTGAGCTGAACCATTTGTCTAAAATCATTACAACTATTAATTTTCAAAATAAACCAGAAAATTCTCGTTTTTTGGGAGGTGGGGGGGTGTTTTCTTAACATTAAATGCAGAAAAAGGTCATTCCAGAAAATAGGGGCAGATGGAAAGCAAAAAAAAAAAAAAATATTAAGTATTTAAAATCAAAATATGCTTTGATCGCACCATCCATGACTTTTTGGTCAGACCGCATTGTTGAACGTGTTGCAATTTCCTATCCCATTCTAACTTGTTAGACGCGTTTCAATTTTAATGAATAGAAAAAATAGAAAAAGTTAAGTAACAAGAGCAATTCCTTTGCCTTTTTTTTTTTTTTTTTTTTTTTTTTTTTTTTTTCTTTCACCAAATAAGAAATGCCAAGGATGCTAAACTATTTTTGGAATTCTGCTCACCTCTAGATGTGGGACTCCGACTTTAAACTCAGTTTTGTGCCACATTAAAGTTGGCTAAATCCCACGTGTTCATTTCTACGAACATTTCAAATAATAAAACATACATATAAAATTAATTGACGCAGTCTATACAAGGAAAAACTTTGTTGTAAAAATGTTTAATAAATTGCAGCTTAACAATTTGATATCATTTATGGAAGTTTATTTACTATGGCTAAATATGTAAAACAAATTAGAAAATTCTCATTCTGTCGTACTTGTTAATCAAACCAGAAAAAAAGATTTTTCTTATCTCACATTGTTTCAACGTCGATTTAATAATAAAAAAAAGTAGACTAAAGCTTAGTCGTATATTAACCGCAGAGGACTTTCAATAAACGTAAATGACGTAATCTTTTTCTTCTTTTTTATAAATAAATCGTAGTAGCGAGAAACTAAAATGGCGATCTGAACTTTGGCATTTTTAGGCGGTATTTTTTAGTGTGTTTGCTCCATCTTGATCGTTTAGAGCAATGTTTCTCAACGTTTCTAAGCAATGGCACACCTAGAATCAAATGAGAATATCACAGCACACAGAGAATATTTTCTAAAGGTTATACATTTAAATGTTATGAAATAAAACCATAGATTTTAAAAATACACACACAAATATGAACTTAATTTCAATGTTTCTATTCAACTATTTGTGCAGCTTATTTAGTGCGAAATCTCTGCCTGGTGTTTTTTCCCGAATTCTTCATTGTTTGGTCGAATGTACGATAAGCAGACCTTCATTTCTTCAGTTGGGTGTAATCTCTCTCGATTCTTATTTTTTATACTATTTAGGGTTCAGAATCTTAATTCACATAAATAAGAAGTAGAAAATTGCAAAGCTTTTTTTAGCTAATGTGAAATATTCCTTTTTTTTTATTGAAATCCAAAATGTATCAATGGGTGCCGTCGAATGTTTTATTTTGAGCCCTTGATTATTATTAATGGTAGCTAATTCTCCTTCTTCACATAACTGAAGTCCAATATTAGAAGGAACATTTTTGAAGGGATTTCGAATCCTATCATATTTTTCTGTGCTTAATTATATGAAAAAAAACGTTGATATTCATTTATTCAAATAAAGGAAAAAATTAAATTGAAAAATAAAAAATACTTTTTAAAAAATGAATTTAAAAGAATTTAAAATAACATAATCGAAGGAGAGTGAAATGAATTTATTTGAAAAAACAAAGTTTAATACTTATTCCATTTATTTAAATACCAACGCTGTACCATGACTACTTCGACACATACATAGATTATGTATACCTTGATAATATTTCGCGGCACACTTAAGAGGATCACGCGGCACACTAGCGTGCCGCAGGACGGCGGTTGTGAATCATTGGGTTAGACATTGGACACTGTGAATTATTGCACAGATAAATGTCTTTTGTCTTTTTCTTTTTTCTTTTCAATTTATGATTCCTTTTCCTTTCTTTTGTAAGTTTTTTTTCCTGTATGTCTCGGGTTAACGTTCTCAGCTGACATGAAATGGAAAGATTATATTGAATCCATTTCTAGGTCAGCTGCTAAGAAAGTTGGTTTGATGTGTCGTGCGATACAATTTTTCTACCCAGAATCTATCATATATATCTATAAGTCTAGCATTGGTCCATGCTTAGAATATTGCTGCTACATATGGTCTGGTGCTCTCGCCATATATCTAGAGATCCTTGATAAAATCCCCAAATCAGCAATATTATTCGTCCTGATCTGGTGTCTCGACTTCAGTCACTTTTCAGCCACGGTAAAGTTGCCTCCCTTTGTCTTTTCTATAAATACTTTTATGGTAATTCTTTGGATGAGCTTTCTAACACCTAGACTTTTTTAAAAAATTTAATCACAGTACTCGACTGGCGTCGTGATTTCATCAATTTACAGTTGAGCTGGCTAGATGTAACCGTAAGTTCTACGATAACAGTTTCTTTTATCGCACTTCTCGCTTGTGGAACGCCCTTCCGGCTCCACGTCTTCCAACCAACTTTGATCTTCAAAAATTTAAATGCAATGTCAATTGCTATCTATTGACCCCCGGATTCCTTTCTTTTCTTTTTTTTGCTCCCGCTCCTTAGTAATGTTTCTGGTATCTAATTCTTCCACACCCAGTAATCCCGTGGGTCTTTATGACTTTCATGTCTTGTATGGGGAGAAATCGATTAAAAAAAAAAGAAAAACAAAAGGTTTCTTTATTTATTGCTTTTTGGTCTTTTTCTTTGTTTATTATTTTTGTCACTTGGCAGGTTTTGTGTTTGCGGATTCACAATTATTGGCTTTACCAATACTTTGGTTTTGTATATATATATATATATATATATATATATATATATATATATATATATATATATATATATATATATGTGTGTGTGTGTGTGTGTGTGTGTGTGTGTGTGTGTATCGTAGAAGCTATTATGAATTGAATGAGTTTAAGTTCTTGTCCTTGTTAAAGATGATGTTACACTTAGTGTCCCCCCCATAATAATAGTAGCAGTATATTATAAATCCTATTTTATCCTAATTTGATTTCATTTTCATTTTCTCAAGACAAACAATCATTCCAAAGATTGTAATATATTGTAAATCTATGCGTGTATATACACGCATAGATTGTATATACAATTGACATAAAAAAACATGTACGTCCTATGGGTAACGTGGGCGAGACTCTGTTTTTAGGCACCAATATCTACGGAGACATGAGTTCGAATCCCACTACTGTCACTTCTAGAAAGAGTTAGGTTTTAATAGTCGGATTCACATTAAAATACAGTTGAAAATATTAAAAATAGAGCATCATCCGACGGTCAGTGTTAAATGCATGTCCCCTTTATCCGCGCTCAACATAAAGAATAGATGTCAGGCCAAAAGTGTAAGACGAGTAATGCTTGCATTTCGGATTCTTCGTTAATCGAAAAAAGGTCGAACTACTCAAATTAATGAAGAAATAAAATTTGCTATGTTCAGCTTGTTCTGATTTATGGTATGAAGAAGAAACATTCTCTCTGTCGCATGACTTTTTTTGTTACAATATTTTTCCATGATGGTTCTGTTATTAATATTTTCTGTTAATCATCTCTATTTTCTCAATTTTGTTTTATTGTTCACCCAATACAAGGCCCTAGAGCCAATCAAGGTAGAGTTTTTTTAATGAATGTTCTTGTTGTATGAGCCTAAGAGAAAGAGGGAGTAAAAAAATTTTAATATCAAATTTCAAGCAATACAAGGCGAATTTCAGGTGATCACTGTAGTGTAGTGAAACGTATGCGAGTTCGAGTGAAGTCACGATTTGTAACAATAAAAATAGTCAACGACGCAAGGAGCGTAACATGATCGTGTTATTGACTTATTAATAGTTTTTATCTCGAAAGTAGAACAAGAAATGAAACGAGAATCTGGCTTTGTTGTGGCAAACAGAAAATGACAAAAGTCACTGTTTTTTATTTCGAGACGATAGAGAGAAGTGGATAAAGAAAACGAAGTAAGGAAATGTACCAGCCTTTGTACGATATATTAAATTATGTTATTAAATAAATTGTCACAGCATTATGCGTGCGTCATGCTTCGGTAGCGTGGCCGAGCGGTCTAAGGCGCTGGTTTAAGGCACCAGTCTCTTCGGAGGCGTGGGTTCGAATCCCACCGCTGCCATTCTTTTCTTTCAGTTTTTTCCCGCTTTTTGTTTGTACAAACATCCTCCATTTTTTTTTTCCTTTTTTTTTTTTTTAATTATATTCAGTTATAATTTTGTCCGAGAAATATACATAATAGCAGGAAGGAGTTAGGAAAAGAGAGTTAGAGAGAGAGAGTGTGTAGAGGAGTAAGAAAATGAGGAAATTAAAGAGGAAAGAGAGGAGGTAAGAAAGCGATATTAAATGAAAAGATAAGCGAGTAAGAGGAAGAGTGAAGATAGGAAATTAAAGAGGAAAGGAGGTAAGAGACCTATAGATGAATGAAATAGAGCGACTGGTGAGGAGGAGGAGAAGTAACAGGAGATAGAAAAAGAGAGAAAATTAATAATGAAAGGGAGGTGTTAAAAACGTAAGAGGAAAACTGAGAAGACAAGCGATTGATAAAAGGTGTAGAAAAAAAAATAGGAAATTAACAATGAAAAGGAAGTTGTAAGAACGCGAGAGGAGAATGAAAACAAAATCTAGTCAGAGGAACAGGAGGAAAAAAAGAAGAAATGAAGGATAATAATAGAGAGGAGGCAAGAAAGCGAGAAAGCGAGAGGAAAATTAATAGAAAAGCAAGTGGGTGAAGGAAGAGTAGGAAGAGGAAGAGGGAAAGAGAAAGTTAAAGAGGAAAGGGAGGAGTTAAGAAAGTGAGAGGAAAACGAGAAGAAAAGCTAGTAAACGAAAAGGGAAGATAACAACGGAGACGAAAGATATAGAAAGCCATGTTTGCTGACCGCCTATCAAAAGACAAAGAGTAAAAAAACTGAAAGATGGGGAAAGGGAAGAAAGACGTAAAAATGATGATACATTGAAATGGAAAGTTAATTAAAGAAAAAACTCATGAAAGGAAATGAAGTTGTAGAAAATATATGGGCTTCTTTATTCTTATAGGTACGTATCATTTATTGATCTTCTAAGTACATATCATATATATAGATCTTTCTTGTTCGTTTTTCCCTTGTAATCCAGGTTTTTATAACTTTCAGATAAAACATGAACGGGCAACGAGGATTTGAAAGTATAAAAGAGAGAAGGAAAAGGGTAAGAAAGAAAATAAGAGATACGAGAATAAGAAAGAGAAAAGGAGAGACAAGAGAGAATGAGAAAGAGATGGGAAAGGGATAATAGAGAATCAGAAAGAGAGAGAGATGATAAGATACAGAAAGAGAGAGAAGAGGAGATAGATAGATAGATATGAATAGATAGATAGATAGGGAATAAGAGGAAGAGGAGATACAAGAATGAGAACGAGAAGAGGGGATACGAGAGATAATGAGAAACAGATAGGAAAGAGATAAGAGAGAATGAGAGAGATAGAAAGAGAAAAAGTGGATAAGAAAGAGAATGGGAGAGAAGAGAAGAGAAGGAGATACGAGAATGAGAAAGAGAAGAATGGATACGAGAGATAATGAGAAATAAAAGGGAAAGGGATGAGAGAGAAAAGAAGAAGAAGAAGAAGAAGAAGAAGAAGAAGAAGAAGAAGAAGAAAGTGGATAAGCGATAGAATAACAAAGAGGAGAGAAGGAGAAACAAGAATGATAAAGAAAAGAAGGAATACGAAAGAGAAAGATGAGAAGAGATAAGAGGTTTTTAGTGGATACCCGCATTTAAAATAGACACGCCGTTTTATTTGTTTTTATTTTAAACCGTGTGTATGACGTCTATCGGTCTGCGTACAATCAATCAGTGATACACGATTGGGCGATCATGTATCTTTCATGACAGACGAGGCAGTTTTTATGGGGGGGGGGCATTTCTTTCTGCGGTAGACTGGTTACCATCCATGGCTAAAGAACTCAATCTGTTCTACTATTCAGCCCATAGCTGGAGGTGGGAAGAGATGGATTCATGGCTTTTCCCAAGAGTATTTGTGTATAAGTGAATCTAATGAACTCGGCTGGAATTTGAACTCGACACTCTGAGTTCTCACTCCGAGCCGATATCACACAAACACACAGAAAACTTAATAAAGAAAATGTGCTCTCCAGAACTGTGTAAAGAAAGGAAGAAAGGGATGAAGTTTTATTGCTTAAACCTTATATTTAGATCTATGCATATTCTAATAGACGCTTCGTTTATTTATTAAACAGTGTATTTATTTATTTATTCAGACCGTTAAACATAAATACTTATAATGTTTGATAAATAAACGAGTATCCACAAAAAATAGCGTTTAAAAAATCTGTAAGATTAATAAAAAAAAATCCATTCTTTCCTTTAGAAATTGCTTTGTTTACGTTAGGATTGGAAACTGAGCAGATATGTCTATTTCACGAGTCAGAGAAAAATTTATGTTTAAGGACACTATTTAACTTGTCCTGGTCATTGACGCACTCTGTAGCCGTGAGGACAAAGCTCGTCAGATTACTTGACAGTTTTCCCTAGAGAAACGCAGGTTTGAACCCTGCTAGAGTGCTCATATTTTTCACTAATTAAATTTCTCGAATATTCAGACGAAAATAAATAAATGTAACGGGCCGTCTACTCAAATACGAGTATCCACTAAAATAAGGTTTAAGTTATATATATGATAAAATCTAGTTTCAAGGTATGCTATATTTATGTGTTAAAGATAGAGCTTATGTAAATTAAAAGTGGACACTGAAGTCAAGCGGTGACATTCTGTTTAATGTTTAAATGCAATCGTCAGGACAGCCTGTCGCCGTTGGTTGTTGACGTCAATGTCGACTTTTTATTTTTCATATATATATATATATATATATATATATATATATATAGCCAGGTAAAATGAGAACAAATGGAGTATAATTCCACTATATATAACATTTAATTTAAAAGAGTGCTCAATTAGAATAGATCTAAATATTATTTTATAATAAAATATTATTTAATAATAATTATATATATATATATATATATATATATATATATATATATATAATGAGAAGCCACGTATACTTTCTTAATATGTATATATAGAAAAAGTTTCAAATTAAAAATTAAAATGTTTTATTTTATGAAAGTATATATTTATTTATATATATATTTGATATTTCAAATTGTCCTCAATTTTTCATCAGAAATAACTGTTTGTTAGAAATGAATTAAAATTACTGTTTGTTAGCAAGTAGCGTCCTTCGCGAAACGCGGACGTCACGTGATATGGAACGTCAACAAGATCAAAGACATTTTCGATAAACCACCCATAAATGCAATGAAACAATCACCTAACCTATCAGCTATCCTCACCTCTACCAAATATCTAAACAATAGAAACCAAACAGGAAATTACAAATGTAACAAACCTCGTTGCTTAGTTTGCAAACATTTAATAATAGCTAATACATTTTCCGTACCCAACACCAATATCAGGATACAGCCACCTAACCTCACCTGCGATACCCATAACGTAATCTATTATTTATTCTGCAACTTATGTCCTAATAGTGGATATATTGGTGAGTCTGAAAACAATTTTAGATTTCGTTTTAATAACCATAATCAAACAATACGTCAAAACAACCCTTATTCCCCCATAGCTAAACACTACAATCAATCAGGACACACATTAGAAAACTGCAAATGTTTATTAATAGATTCCGATTTTACTTCCACATTCACACGCAGAAAAAAAGAAACATATTGGATTTTAAAATTAAATACACATAAACTAGGGTTGAATAGGGACTTAGGTGTTTTAAATCTTTATAAATATTTCAATAGTTAAGCAATTTTTTTTTTTTTTTTTTTTAGATATAGTAAAAAAAAAAAAAAAAATTTTAAATATTTATGACAGTTAGATTTAAGTTAGGAATATCCGAACAGTGACGTTCCATATCACGTGACGTCCGCGTCTCGCGAAGGACGCTACTTGCTAACAAACAGTAATTTTAATTCATTTGTAACAAACAGTTATTTCTGATGAAAAATTGAGGACAATTTGAAATATCAAATATATATATAAATAAATAAATACTTTCATAAAATAAAACATTATAATTTTTTTAATTTGAAACTTTTCTATATATATATATATATATATATATATATATATATATATATATATATATATATATATAAATTATAGCATAAATATGTGATAAAAGCACTACAAAATAGCTTGGTGTCTTATCAAGTGATGGTGTTGAATGTCTTTCTCTCTCTCTCTCTCTCTATATATATATATATATATATATATATATATATAACGTGTTTCATTGAACAATACTCAGAAGGTATTTTTTTAGTTTTCTTATTGTACTTTTCTTGTATACATACAAGTGTCTTATTTTCTGGAGTCAATATATATATATATAACGTGTTTCATTGAACAATACTCAGAAGGTATTTTTTTAGTTTTCTTATTGTACTTTTCTTGTATACATACAAGTGTCTTATTTTCTGGAGTCAATGAATGTAAAATTTGTCCAAAAGTTTATTGTTATTTTCAAGGATTAGTTTTTGTTATACTGCTATAATATATGATGTGTAATTGCTATTGTTGACGGTATAAAAGTTACTGTAAGTCGATATATTCTTAATTTTCAAATACGGACAGTCTATTGTGGCCATGTTCATAAATAATGTTATTAAGGGATAGTTTCTTTTTTTTTTTATTATTGTAAAGGCGTGTAATTACTTTTTTCAGTCGAAGGAGTATATCACATTTGTGTTCCCATCAACTATATTGCGTATTGTTTTATTTGTATTACAGACACATATTAATTCAGGTTGATTATGCATGTCAACCTTCATTGAGTTAATGTCAAATACTGTATAAGGAATCAAGTAAGAGTCGATCTCACAACTCATGGTCAACTTGACTAAACTCGTTACGGGGAGTCACCTTCACACATAATCTGAACACAAAGATGAAGAACACTAAGCAATAAGAATATATCCATTGATAAGATCAAAACAATTTTCTTTTTTGTTTGTATTTTTTATTTTTATTTTTTTTATTTTTTTATTTTTTGCCGCGGGTACCTTTTATAAAGTAAGTGTCCATTTGGTAACCTTCTAATCTTGATTCTCGACTGCAGGCAACAAACACTCATATTTCTAAAACAACGGAGTGAAAAAATTATTTGTTTTCCGTATCGCTGTAGCGCCCGCCGGCCAATCACTCTGACTATGTTTTCTACTGTGTATTTTTTGTCGTAACTCAACTGGGCGCCATTTTGCATTGTCAGCGTTCAGGCCTTCTGGCTTTACAAAACAAACACAACGTTGGTTCCTTTGTTGCTTCTCGAAATGTTACCGGTAGTTGTACGCCTTTGATAATTTGAGAAGAGCATTTTTTTGCTTTTTGCTTTTTACTCTCTCTCTCTCTCTCTCTCTCTCTCTCTCTCTCTCTCTCTCTCTTACTCATTCGCTCACTCATTCACTCTCTCTGTTTACTTCGTTGTAATACAATTATCTCCGAGTGCTTCGTCAGTTTTTGAGAAAACAATCGAAGTTTAGATTTTTAGAAGGTATGTAAGACAATCTCCAGTCCTGATGAATAACCTCGCCATTGTTGTAGTGGTTGTTGAAAAAAAATAATCAGTGCATTATATATATATATATATATATATATATATATATATATATATATATGTGTGTGTGTGTGTGTGTATGTGTGTGTGTGTGTGTGTGTGTGTGTGTGTGTGTGTGTGTGTGTATATACACACACATGCACATACATGAACACACACACCCATATATATATAGCACACACACACACACACACACACACACACACACATATATATATATATATATATATATATTAAGATATGCTTCATTAAATAATTTAGACAAGTTTTGTCTACCTATTATTAATAGGATCCTCTCGTAATTACGGAAAGTTTCTTAGTATCCTTATTAAAGGAACAAAGAAAATTATCATGTTGATGCATATTCATTTTATTACGAGTACTTTCGACATTAGCACAATGTCGTCATCAGGGTCTTGTTTTTTCTAAGACAAAAAATTCCTGTGTTCATCATATCTAGGTTTTAACTAATACCTTTAAATAGTTTTTTTTTACATTTAGACATTACAATAATCTTAGTTACCTCCCTTGACGCTTAAACGTGAGCCTACATGATAAAATTTAAAATTATACCGTACATAACCTTAATGTTTTTAACTTCACACGTACAAAAATTAATTTTCAGAAGAACACAATTTTCTGCTAGAAAAATGATGAACACAACAGTTTTTTGTCTTAGAATTTTCTATTCTCGTGTATGTGTGTATGAGTGGTGGGGGTGGGAAAGTCTGTGGTCATCAACTCTGTGTGGGTTGGTGAAACGAAGTAAGATATTGTAATAATCTAGTTTTGATTAGATTTAACATGCGTAATTTTGAAAAAGGGAAATTTATAAAATCTTCATTATTTTAGACATAAGTTACATTCACGAATAATGAATCTGTAGAGAAATGGTGATATGAAGCAATGTTTTAAACGAGTGTTTATAGTTGGTAGTAATGCTATGAATATAGTTTGAAAATATTTTCTCCTTACAGGGTTGTTCTTTTTTTTTTAATTAGGCTGGCATTAGTAAAATCAAAGTTATGTCCCACGTCGTTTCGACGTAAGATGAGAGAGTTAGAATGTATGTCTAAACTCAAGTCTTTCTTGTGTTCACAGATCCGGGT